GGGTCAGAGATAAACCTTGAAAGCTGACCATAGATCTGAGGCATTCAGGAGGGGGATGGGAGGGGAGGGGTGAGGGGCACTGGTGAAAACAACAGAGCGGGTGGAGCTGGTAGAGAAACACAATGGACTATGATGATGGACTATGCATGCTTTGGTAGCGGGAGAACTATACTGACCATACCTGAGGGGAGAAATCATATACTGTCGAAAATTAACAAGGATGTTAGCAAAAGGTACTTCATTAAACAATTAATTCATTAAAAATTAAATAAATTTTATTTAATTGTTGACATAGAGTTGAATTTATTCTCCTTGCAAGTTGATTCACAAATAAACCTGATTTCTTGTCTCAAATACCTAATGTTCTAATCTGATCTCTGCACAATGAATAGAGGACCCCATTGCTTAGTAATAAGAGTCTTAATATATAAATATGAAAAGGCCCACATCAAATTCACACCATAGCCAAAAGGTTTGCCTGACCAGAATATTACTCCCTGTTAGCAGATAATTTGGAACCAGATTACCTGAAGGTTCATTGGTGAACATAACGTAAGAAAAATGGGCATGTTCCTGGCCCAATGTGTGGGAAGCAACTCAAGCTGGCAGATCAGGCCTTCAGCCCCACTGGGGTGCCAGCAAACTCCAATCCAGCAGGTAAGGAACCCAGACACTGGCCCAGCGTGAGGAAGGCAGCAGAGACCTGCAGATTAGGCCCCAGTGCCCTGTCCAGGTGCTATAAACCCCTAGACCCAGCAGACCCACAGGTAAGGAGTCTGGACATCCAGCTCAGCATGGGAGTGGCAAATGCCCATTGATGAGGACCACAGTCCAGGTCAGGATGTGGAGCCATATCCAGCAGAAGCCACACCTACAACAGCAAGGACTGCCACATGTGTCCTACAGGGGAATAATACACCACAGAGAGAGGGTTATAATGTTGGCCTCATTAAATGTATTTGCAAGTACTCCTTCTTTATGAATTTTTTGAAAGTATGAATATGATAGGAACTAGTTAATCATTGAAAGTTTGGTAGAACTTGCTTGTGAAGCCATCTGGTCCTAGACTTTTGTTGGGAGAGTTTTGATTAATACTTCAATTTCCTTGCTTGTGCTTGGTTGGTTTGGATTTCTATTTCTTCCCTATTCAGCTTTGATGATTGTATGATTCTAAAAATCTCCATTTCATCTAGGTTGTCAGATTTATTTGCCCACGAATGTTCACAGTCATCTCTGATTATCCTCTGAATTTTTGAAGTCTTTTGTAATTTCATTCTTTTTTGATTCTATGTATTTGAGTTTTCTCCCTCTTTTTCTTAATGAGCTTATCTAAAGGTTTATCTATTTTGTTCAGTTTTTGAAAGATCCAGCTTTGGTTTTAGTAATCTTTCGAACTCTTTTTTTAAATTTCTGTTTCATCTCTGATTTTTTATCATTTCTTTTCTTCTACTGACTTTTCTCCTACTGATTTCTACTGACTGAACATTTTTGTACTCTTTTCAAGTTACTTGAGATGTGAGATAAGGTTAATTTGGGCTCTTTCTTGGTTCTTGATGTGGTCTTGTATTGCTATATACTTCCCACTTAGTACGCTTTTCCTGTGTCCCATGTTCTAGAAGGTTTTGTCCTTATTGTCATTTATCTCTAGGTACTTTTTGATTTCTTATTTTGATAACTTCATTAACCCAGTGGTCTTTTAGTAGTATATTGTTCAGTCTCCATGTATTAGAGAAGTTCCTCGTTTTCTTTTTGTAGTTGATTTTAGTTTGTTGTCTTTATGGTCAGAGAAGATACTTGGCATAGATCTGAGACATGTAGCAGGGGTGGGGGGAGAAGAGGAGTCAAAACAGGGGAGGGAAGAGCACAAGGGTCAATGGGTGCTATGGTGGTGGGAGAGCTATGGGGACTACTACCCCTTAGGGGGAAAGTCAAATATTGTACAAAAATGAACAATGATGTAAGAAAATAAATTTTTTTTTCATCCATGTTGGAGAGTTCCAAGTCTCTTTACATCCTCACCAAAATTTGTATTTTATATATTTTAAATAGCCAACTAGAGGGTGTAAATTGATTTTATTCATGTTCATCTAGTGGCTAATAATATTAAGCATCTTTTTTATTTGGTTATCATTTGTATGCCTTCTTTGAAGAAATTTTTTTTCCAATCCTGTGCCTATTTTTTAATCTGGTTGTTTGTTTTTTGTTGTCAAGTTGTAGGAGAGCTTTATATATTTTGTATATTAAGTCTTATCAGATATATGATTTGTGAATATTTTCTCCCACTTTGTGTTTTTCTCTCTCAATAGTTTATTTTAATAAACAAAATATTTTTATTTTGATGAAGATCAATTTATTAATTTTGTCTTTTTAAAAAAGATTTATTTATTTACTTATTTATTTATACATGAACCAGGGTACAGATGCGCGGGAGGGTGAGAGAATTCACCAGAGACAGAGCGAGGAACAGAACAGGCAGGCTGACGATACACTGCTGAGGGGAGCAGCGGGCGCGACAGGAGAGGTCTGCGGCGCCATGTGGGATCCACGCTGGCCGGCTGGGATGGAACTGGCACTGCAAAGGCTGCGGACAGCTTCACAGCGCAGCGCTCAACCGTCTGTGCCACTGGTGGAGGCCTTAATTTTGTCTTTTTTGCCTATGTTTTGGTGTTGTATCTAAAGAAGTTGTTGCCAAATCCAATGTCTTACCCTATCCCCTATATTTTCTTCTAACAGTTTTATAGTTTTAGCTCCTGCTTATAGTTTATTGGGCTTCTTGTATGAGTATATTCATGCCTTTTTATTAGATTTGGGATGTTTTCAGTCCTATTTCTTAAACTTTTTTTTTTTTGCCCTTTTTCTATATTCATGCTAATTTGCCACCAGTTTACCTGAGTATATAATTTTGGAATTTCAACTTCACATATCCACATGTGAATGTGCCTCACTCACCTTCCACCATTTCTTCAGTGCCACAACCTTACCATTTCTCTCCCTCACTCCCATTCTCTATTATTCATAGAATCTAAGAATTATTATTGTTGTTTTGCCAGTTCTCTTTGGTTATTTATATTCTGCAAGAAAGGACAATCTGGTGTCTTTAACTTTTTCACTTAGTATAATCATCTCAAGATCCATTTATTTTATTCCAAAAGGAACATTTCATCTCTATTAATAGCTGAGTAGTATTCCAATTAGTTTATAATCCATCATTTTTTCAGTCTTTTGTCTGACTCTTATGTTATCTTGATATTTTATAGTGTCTCATGGGTTCCTCATACTGTTTTTCAGTCGTTTTTCTTTGTTCCTTAGATTATATTACCTGCAATTTCATTGATTCTTCTTCCTGGTTAAATCTGCTATTAATTCCAGTGTCTGAGCTTCTTCAGTGATGACTACTAAAATCATTTCTTGTGACTGGACTATGCGTGCCTGTTCTTTGTTTTATAGTTTTATTGTCGAGAATTGGACTTTCTAAGTGTATGCTATAAGAAATCTGGAAATTTAATTCTCTCACTCCTCAGGGATTGCTTGTTTTAGCTTTTTTTGTGGGCTGGATCCATCTTGTGTTTTTTTCCTATTTTTGCAAAATATGTATTTCTTGTTGCGTGGGGACTGAAATTTCTTTCCATTCTCTGCACCTTAGCGTTCACTCATTTCCTTAATGTTAGGCACCCAAGAGGTGGAAAAAAATCGTCTTTTTAAAACACTTGAAGCTGGACAACTACTTCAGTCTGTGGGTGTGGGTGTTGAAAAATGGCAGATCTCTACGCTGGCCTTTCAGTGATCAAAAGCGGCTATCAGCTATCAAAGCTCAATGTTCTATTTTTGCCCACTCTGGCTCCAGTAAGCTAAACCAGGAATGTGAGTCGCCAGCTCCACAGCTACATGCTGCTGTGCTGGTAGCTACAAACTTACAAAAGGCCAAATTCACCAAAATTTACCACTGTCTTCAAGTTATTCCACAGATGTTGGACTAGTTCTACTGTACGCCTGAGTTACAAAATACTTTAGAGAGTTCCTGACAGTTCAATAGATGTTTTAGGTGAAGGGAAAGATTACTGGAGCTTCCTATTCTGCAATCTTTCCTGAAATCACTCTCTACATTGCTTTAATTTTAATTTAATTACAATTTAATACTAAGAGGGTAATCCTATCTGTAAGTTTTGGGGAGTTGATTGACTTGTTTGCATGTCTATCACCTGTTCTTCTTTCCAACCATACTAGAACTCTGGCCAGGCTTTTCCCACATTTTCCTGTGTTTAAGGCAGAGGCCAAAGTAGAGGTAAGACAGTTCCCAGGGCTCTCCTGTTTTTTTTTCTGCTCAGTCTTGTAACAGAGGAGCTGAAGTATCAGGAGAATTCCTTCACATATGGGGATATTATTTGTCTCACTTTCCTTTTCATTCATATGTCACCAATATTTTGAACAACCACTGCATGTCAACTCTTTGATATATAATGGGAAGAGTTAAAAGAACTGAGTCCTTGTTCTTACTGAGCTCATAGTTGAGTGGAAACTGATTAAAGCAAACTGATTTAAAAAACCTCCAGTACACTTTGTAAAGTTTGAAAGGTGGACAAAAAGATGCTGAGTGAGTTAAGAGGACATGGTTAAAGGAGTTTGAGGGAGCATGGATGAAAATGGAAAGCTTCACAAGTGAAGATGCCAGAAATAATCCTCAATTTTACACTTTTACACCCCTAATCTTCACCTGTAAGTCCTATCTTTGATAGGAACAGCAGTAAGGATAAATACTTGGAAAGTGAGAACAAGACCAACTAGAGAGGCAGTAAGTAATTTTAGTATAAGGAGTATGCGGGCAAGTGTTAGGTGATCTGGCCAGAAAGGTAGGGGGACAAAACAATGTTGGGGTTGACTTTTATTTTGTAGGTGATTCTAGTGTTAAAGGATTGTCAATAATGAAGCAATACAACCAGACTTTAAAAAAATTAATCTGGAATGAAGGAATATTTGAAATAAATTAAGTAATCTTTAACAGCTGACTGCCTGACTTTAAAGTCTTACATGCCTCTTTCTCTTTTACCCTGTCTTCTCATCTGTGTCCTTTTCTCATCTTCCTTCTCTCCCTTCCTTTTGTTCAACAAGAATTTGTTAGCTGCTATTCTCTAAGCCAGGTACTCGGCAAGAATGGTATATATAAAGATGACAAAGGCACTGTTTTTTCCTCTTGATTTAATGGTTTAGTAGAGACAAACTTGACATGTAAATGGCAACTTGATGTCAAGAATTTCAGCAGGAGAGGGAAAGCATCCTGGTCAGAAGCTTGTTTGAGTGAAGGTTTGGAGAGGGAATAGGTGTAAAGCACATGGTATATGCAAGGAAAAGCCAAGAATTTTCGAGGTGGAGTACTGCAGTCATGGGATGCTGCGCAAAGTGGGGCATGGAGAGTTGGTTCTAGGTGAGTAGACTGGAAAAGTCAGGGCAAGAAGATGAAGATGCCAGAAACAATCCTCATTTTTACACTTTTATACCCCTAATCTTCACCTGTAAGTTCATCTGGGTAGACAGGGAAAAGAGTCAGTATTTTTGTGGCTAAGTGAGAAAGTGGTGACGGATGCACTCCTATACTTTTTTTGCATTGCCTACTTTTCTCTTGGTTTGGTCTTGCAATGTAGAAATTAAAAATATCAGTTACTTTGAAAACAGGACAAATTTAAGTTTTCTAATCAGCAGCAAAATATTTCTAGAAAAACTAAATAAAAGCTTTACCACTTGCTAATGTCAGGCATTACATTGTAACAAAGGCTTTCCAATTTAGCAGATGAACATATTTCAAGGCCTTAACTCTTTATTGACCATAAGGGAAAGTTTTCCCTCACACCATTAAACAATCAATTTTCAGTGTAAGCTCACTGATTCTTATTCAGTAGGTGTTGCTTCATTACCAACATTATTTTAATGCTCAAATTATCCTAGATTTGGCCAGCGACACCCCATTCAAGTTGGCTTTTGTCCACTGACATGTCCCTATTAGTTTTTGAGTATTTTCTTACTTTTAGGCACAAGATGTTATGGCTTATATTGTATCTTCTCTGCCCTACTCTTATACTAAACAATTACCCATGGAGATGAACATGTTTGAAATATTTGCAATATATTTCTTTGAAAATATTTTTGAACATTTTATAAAATAATTTTTATTTACCAAGTTTCAAAAAATATAATTTTGTATTAGATGCCAGTTAATTTCTAGTGCCATTTTAACCACAGTGCAATATTCCCAGGAGATCCTGATCTTGTGATCAAGATTCTCCCAATTAAACAAGTTTTATAGCACAGAAACTAATGAGGTTGTCAAGGGATGAGAGTATTTACATTTTTAAAAATGTGTACTTTTATAAAACATTTAAAATTCATTTTAAAATACTTTATTTTGTTTTCAGAGAGAATATATCCATCTAACACACAGCTAGCTGAAATAACCTATACAAGAAATTTATGAGGTATGATACAGATGAGAAAACTTGAAATATTATTAACTTAATTTGTCTTATGAGGAGTACGTGGAATTGACAATACTTTTGGACATCAATTATTTTTTCCCTGTAAGCTTTAATTTACCCTTCCAGAAAGTATAATGTGCTATTGTATCTAAGAAATCAGTGAATAACTAGGTTCCCCATCTTTTTAAATTACGAAGCATTACTTCAATCTTAGTTCTTCTGACAGAATCTAGTACTTGTCTTCACGAAATATTACTTTCTTTTTTACTAAGTTATTCAATGAAATGCTATTAATCCATTGAATCAGAAAGCGAATACAAGGCATATTTATATCACAAAGGAAATTAATGAAAGCTTAAAAGATAAACATCTAGTATTTAAAAAAAAATTCCAAATTTTGACATTAGTAGCAATATGATTCCCTAATTATCTTTTTCTAAGGAAGACCTTCTCCAGCTTTTTTCCAGGCTTCTTTTACTCCTTTAATGCTTTCTTTTTTCACACATTTCCAGTATTCTTGTATGCTTGGATGTTGTGGTACCTGTTAACCAAAAGTAAGGGGGTTATTCTCTTTAAGGCTGAACATGATTTCATATTAACTTTGTTACTGTTTATTTCCCACATTCCTCCAAAAAGGATTTAAGGTGAATTTTGTAAAAGATGACTGCAACAGAACTGTAAAGTAAGGGTAAAAGATACAAAGTGAATATCATGTAAGAATATGCTTAGGATAACCATGGGAATGAAGGGAGACTAATTATATGTCAATGGAGGTTCCTCCTTAAGATGATAATGAAGGGTTTGAGTAATTTTCTTTCATAAATTGGCTTTAAATTATAATTATCTGATAATGTTTCTATTTCATAATATTTTATTATATTTTCCCTTTTTTGGTGAACTTAACTGTGGAATAAAAATCATAAATTCATAATTTTGATTTAACCATGGTCAAAATGAAAAGAAAAAACATGGGCCTCCCAGATGGCTCAAGGGGTTAAACACCGCACTATGAAGCAATTTGCAGCCTCTGCAGCACGAGTTCGATCCTGCCAGTCAGAGAGCACCCCACATGGTGAAGCAGACCTCTCCTGTCTTGTCCACTGCTCCTCTCAGCAGTGTATTTCAGTCAGTCTGCTTGTTCTGTTCCCTGCTCTGTCTCGGGTGAATCCTCTTACCCCCCACATCTCTGGACTGTACCCCAGATCTTGTATGCATAAATAAATAAATCTTTTAAAAAAAGAAAACACACACACACAAACAACTATATTTGATGAGAAGCTTTAAGAAGAAATAAGAAAATTCATGTATGTGCTTTGTGAATTAAAAGTAGTGTGTGGTTATCATTCCTCTCAACTAAGTGACAGCGTAAAGGTTAGAAAACATTTAGATACTGGTGATCAAAAGTACAGCGTTGCTGGAAATGAGTCAAATAGAAACAAAAGTCCATTTTAGGTTATATGGATGTTCATTATAATATTATTGATTTATAGCTCTTTTCTTAATATTTTTTGAGAAATGACAAAGAGCTTCCTGGATATATTAAATTGTTCAGTGCACAAATTGGTTTAATTTCTAGGAATATGACTGTATAACTCTGAGGTGTTAGATGACTGCAAAAAGTTTTACTTTGCGACTAGAAATATATTTGCTCATTGTCCACACATAATGTTTGTAGCAGGCAACTAAAATTGTTTTTTTCATTTTTTTTACATTTTAAAAGGACAGGTTTATTCGGAAAAAGAGAAAGAAAAAACTGCTTAAAAAGCAGGAAAGCTGCATTTTTCCAGTTGAAATTGGTTTTCTAGGTTCTAGAAAGTCTGGGTCTTATGAACCTACTAATCTCTTATTCTTCCTTTTTCCTTTCTTCTGGCCTAAATACCAATATTTTCTCTTTGGACTTGTTTTCAACCTTAAGACTACTTTAACAAGAATGTTTCTAGAAGATTCTAATCTAAACAAAATATTTTTATTTGTCCCACAGTTACAGACCAATATGTAAATTTCAGTAATGACTAAAGCTAACATTTGTGCCTCAGCACTTAGTTAAATAGTATTTTACAATCAATTCTCACAAAAATTTTCAATGTTAGAATCTATTAAGTTTTCACATTGGGGCCTCCCTGGTGGCACAGCAGTTGAGCGCTGGGTTGCAAAGCTACCCGCAGCCTCTGCAGTGCCAGTTCGATCCCCGGCCGCCGGGCGAGGGTCCCACATGGTGCACAGACCTCTCCTGCTGCCCGCTGCTCCCCTCAGCAGTGTACTTCGTCTGTCTGCCTGTTCTGCTCCCCGCTCTGTCTCTGGTGAATTCTCTCACCCTCCTGCGCTTCTGACTGTACCCAGTGCTTGTATAAACAAATAAATAAAATCTTAAAAATAAAAAAGTTTTCTCATTGTATACAGGAATAATTTGAGGTTCAGAAAAATGAAGTGACTTTTTAAAGATTCAGCAGTTAGTATGTATGATATAAAGCTGGGGATTTGAATCTAGATGTATCAAACTACAGAACCTGAAGTAAAATCTAAGGCTATTATTACTGAATAGTGGTTTCCTTTTTTTAAATTTTTTTTTTCCTAAAGATTTATTTATTCATGCATACAAGAACTGGGGTACAGGCTAGATGCGTGGGAGGGTGAGAGGATTCACCAGAGACAGAGTGGGGAACAGAACAGGCAGACTGACTGAAATACACTGCTGAGGAGAGCATCCGGGCAAGACAGGAGAGGTCTGCTGCTCCATGTGGGATTTTCGCTGGCAGGCCGGGATTGAACCCCGCTGCAGAGGCTACAGACAGCTTCACAGCGCTGCGCTCAATGACCAGCACCACCAGGGGAGGCCAAGAATAGTGGTTTCTGATTAGATTTAGATTAAGAGGGAAAAAAAAGCAAAGAAAAATGTTGGATCTCATCTGTATGAGAGATTTCAGTGTAAGTTGTAATTATAGCTCACAACCTCTTAATAAATTATAAAATCCCCATTTAAAGCTATACATTTGCTCAAATTCTAGATTTAATATCATTTAATATCATTAATTACACATAAACATATACATTAAAAATTCCAAATCTGTTACCCATAAGCCTCGATGCATCCTGTTTTTTAATACTCCAAGAAACTCTCCATGACTGAGACATTCATCACCATCCAAATCAAAGATCTTGAAGACTGTGTCCAAAATATTGTTTGAGAGGTCTTGTCCTGTTGCTACTTTCACAGCTCTCTTAAACTCCGCTAAAAAACAGTAAACATAAAACAACTCTTAAACTATGGGGAATAGTGTTAAGTGGAATTAACCTAAATTTTTATTATTTGAGAAGTGAAACAAAACCAAAAATACCCATCAAGAATGTATTCAAGTAATAAATTTGGCTGGGAAATATGATAAAGTAATGCATAAGCAGGCTATTTTAATATAATAAATGTTCTAAATACAAATATTTAAATATTTCCTGCCTTTTTTAAGGGGAATAAGAAGAAAAGGTAAATAAAATTATTGTTAAATGTGTTCAAAATCTAGAAATGTAATGTAAATCAAAATAACCACATTGATGTAAAGGTTATTTTTTATAACTGGCCTCTTGATTGGTTTAATGTACTTAAAGAATAGAATGATACTGTTTATAGATAACACAAATTAAATGATTTATGCAACTTACGGAGTCTGATAGGGCGATGAGCTAAAGTAAACATTTTCATGGCAATAGCAAAGTCTTCCAGGTGGGTGGCGAAATTGCAAAAGGACTTGAACTCATCCAAGCTAATGCTCTAAAATAATAAAACCAAGTTTTTATCACAATTTTATAAAGACATTAAATAATCTTATGACTCTAAGTGTAAGTACTTTATCATAAACCTATAAACACCTTTCTGAGTCGATTAAAAATTTTGAGAGGAAAAAGAATTATAGATTTTAGAAATTAGGAGAAACCCCAAGAGATTAAGTGGCAGGATCACTATGTATAAACTATGTTGACTGTACACTGTGAGAATTGGATCTGAGTTGTGCCCTTCAAGATTTTGGGTGGCCCTGTGTTACAGACTGAGATATCCTCCCCCAAATCCATGTTGAGCCCTTGTATTTAGAGACAGGGCTGTTAGGAAGGTAATTAAGGCTAAATGAAGTCACAGGAGTATGGCCAAGCCCAATAGAACTGATTTCCTGGTAAGAAGCAGAGACACCAGAGTTTGCTTTCATTTTACAGATAAGCACGGAGAAAAGGTCATGTATGTGAGGACACAGTGAGAAGTCTACAGGACTTTTTTTCCAGTGAAAAAAAATCAAGTATATAAATTCTTAATTTGAAGAATGAAACTAGATCACCCTCTCCCAATTTAAATAACTCAAAGTGGATTAAAGACATGGATACAAGACCTAAACCTATAAAATACACTGAAGAAAAAATAGACAAAATGCTCCACAACACTGGCTTCAGAAAGGTCTTTGGGAATTCTTCTCCAATGGCAAGAGAAGTAAAACAAATATGACCAAAAAAAAATAGCATCAAACTAAAAAGCTCTGTACAGTGAAAGAAACTATCAGTGAAACAATAAGCACATTACTGGATGAGGAAATATTTTCACACAACACATCTAACTATATAAAGAATACAAATATTCTAAATATATAAAGAACTCATGTGACTCAACAAAAAGAAAACAACTAAGCCAATGGATAGAAGGAAAGAAAATGGGCAGAAGAGTTGAATAAGCACTTCTCCAAAGACGACATATAAATGGCCAACAGGCACATGAAAATATGTTCATCATCAGGCCTCCCTGGTGGCACAGGGGTTAAAGTCTCAGTGCTATCAAGCTATCACCAGCCACTGCAGCATGAGTTCAATCCTCGCCAGGGAGCTAATCCACATGGCGCAGCAGACCTGTCCTGTCTCACCTGCTGCCCCACTTAGCAGTATATTTCAGTCAATCCGCCTGTTCTGCTCCCTGCTCTGTCTCTGGTGAATCCTCTCACCCCCCCGCACCTCTGACCTACACCCCAGTTCTTGTATGCATAAATAAAAAAAACAAATCTTAAAAAAATGCATCAAAACTTCTTATAAGGGAAATGCAAATCAAAACCACAATGAGACACCATCTCACACTCATGAGAATGGTCCACATCAAAAACACCAGAAGCAAGTATTGGTGAGGGTGTGGAGAAAAAGTAACCCTCCTACAGAAAACAGTATTGAGTTTTCTATTAAAAACAGAATTGCCATATGACCCCGCAATTCCATTCCCAGTGCAAAAACACTAATTTGAAAGGGAAATATGTACTCCTATACTCATTGCAGTCCCATTTACAATAGCAAAGTAATGGAATCAGCCTAAGTGCCCAAGGATAGAGTGAATCAGAAAAATATGGTTTATATATACAATGGAATACTACTCAGCTATATAAGTGGATGAATTCTTGCCATTTGTGACAACATGGATGGAACTAGAGATGATAATGCTAACTGATAAGTTAGAAGGAGAAAGACAAATACTAGTGGATGGTCTTACTTACATGTGGAATATCGAGAAATGTAGTAAAGGGACAGTCAAAACCATACTAATAATAAGCTCTTAACATGACTGCAAAACTGAGGCAAAAATAGGGGGAGTTTGGAGAGGTGGAAATGGGGGAGGTAAGGAACTCCAATGGAACATGGTGGAGGATTGTTTTGGCACTGATAGTAGGCAGGGTGTGAAAGTATACATTTGTAGAAGTTTGAACTAGAACCCCTGGAGCAGATACAAAGGTGTAAACATATTTTACCTCAATAAATGTATGTGTGGGGGGAAGAGTTTAGCTTGTTTTTAATAGCTGAGCAGTATTCCACTATGTACCACATCTTTACTCATCTGTCTTTGGGCACTTAGGTTGTTTCCATAACTGGACTATTGTAAATCGTGCTGCAATGAATACAGGAGTGCATATATGCCTTTAAATTAGTGTTTTTGCATTCTTTGCGTAGATATCCCTAGGAGTGGAATCACTGGATCATATGGTAGATTTATTTTTAATATTTTGAGAAACCTCCATACTGTTATCCACTGAAGTTAGACCAGTCTACATTCCCACCAACAGTGTAGGAGGGTTACTTTTTCTGTACCCCCTTATCAATATTTACTGATTCTGGTCTTTTTGATGTGCACCATTCTCATGGGTGTTAGATGGTATTGCATTGTGGTTTGGATAGGCATTTCCCTGATGAGAAGTGTTGATGAGCATCTTTTTCGTGTGCCTGTGGCCATCTGTATGTCTTCTTTGGAGAATAGCCTGTTTAGTGCTTTTGCCCATCCTTTTTTTTTTTTTTAAAGATTTATTTATTTCTGCATACAAGAGCTGGGGTACAGGCCAGAGATGCGGGGGGTGAGAGGGCCCACCAGAAACAGAGTGGGGAACAGAACAGGCAGACTGACCAAAATGCATTGCTGAAGGAGCAGCAGGAGAGCCAGGAAAGGCCCGCTGCGCCATGTGGGTTACTCCCTTGATGGCTAGGAATCAAACTCGTGCTGCAGAGGCTGGGGATTGCTTCATAGTGCGGTGCTTAACCCTTTGAGCCACCAGGGAGGCCCCTGCCCATCTTTTTTTGATTGTGCTTTCTTTTTTTTTTTTTGAACTATATGAGTTCTTTGTAGATCTTGAACACTGGTTCCTTGTCACATGTATAGTGTGAAAATATTTTCTCCCATTAGGTAGGGTGCCTTTTTGTTTTAGTTTCTTTTGCTTTGCAGAAGCTTTTTAGCTTGATGAAGATTATGTTTATAATCTTTTTTGCTTTTCCTGTTTTTAGAGATGACTTTACAAAGACATCACTGATGACTACATTGTGATGTGTTCTGCCTATGTTTTCTTCTACATATTTTATGATTTCAGGTCTTATATCCAAGCCTATTTCCATTTTTAGTCACTTTTTTGTGTAATATAGTGGCCTAGTTTCATTCTTTTGCATGTGACTGTCCAGTTTTTCCAACACTTCTCAATTAAGACTTTCCTTTCTGCAATGTATACTCTTGGTCCCTTTGTCATTGACTAACTATTCATCTTAATGTGGGGGCACTTCCTGTGCAACAATTCTATTCCATTGATCTGTATCTGGTTTTGTTTCAGTATCATAATGTTTTGATTATTATCAAATACATAGTTCAAAGTCTGGGCACAAAGTTTGAAGTCCTACTTTTTGTCATATTGCTTTTGCTATTCCAGAACTTTTGTAATGCCATATGAATTTCAGAATGTTTTTAGCATTTCTTTGAATGCAACTGAAACTTTAATAGGGATTGCACTGAATCTGTATATTGCTTTGGGTAATAGGCACCCCCCCCAAGGGTGACAGTTTAGTGAGATTTGAGATACCAATCCTTGCATGGTGGAAAAGCACATGGAAAAAAGAAACTGAGGCTTGCTGGAGGGTGAGGGAGAGGGGAAAAGAACAAACATTTCAGTAGTTGGGGGGAGGAATATTGCCAGGGACTTTGGAGGTCAGTGGGGGCCTCAGCGTTAGAGGCATTTGGGTTGGATCACTAAGGCTGGTGGGTGCACTTCAGGAGCTGAACAATAGACCCCAGGAACCTAAGGGGAATTGCAGCAATGGTGGGTGCACCCCTGGGGCTGGAGGATGGACCCTGGAAGCATCGGGTTGGACACAAGAAATTGATGGGATGGATCTCAGGAGCGGGGAGTGCCCACAGACCCCAAGAGGCAGTCCCACTGTGGGGCCTGGGTAGCAGTGGCAGGCTTCCTGGTGGGGGTGGAGACAGAGACTCAGGTAGTACATGACAAGTGGGGGTGTGGGGATACTTCACCCTAAGAGACAAGGCAGGAAGGTTCAGAGGGGCTGTGGGTTTCTTCATCTTAAAGTGGAATTGCAGAAAGAAATGTTCGTTTCCCTATTCCACTGAGTCCAAAACTTGCCTTTGGCCTTGTCAATTGCCCTGATAGGCAGCTTGAAAGGAAGTCTTATAGGATGCGGTGGTGATCCGCAGGTAGTGCTAGCACCTGTCTCTTCATAGGCAGACATGAAGGAGTGGTAGGGCATAATGCCCTTGGTTATCTCAGGGAGGTCAATCTGAAAGAGGAGACTGCTGGCACAGGTCTGTATCTCTTTTGGTCACTTTGTAGTTGGGGCAGCCAATCTTCACAAACTTCTCTAGCTTCACCTTAACTTTCTCTGGTGCTGGTTGGGCAGGTACCTCCTTGGCTGCTCACTGGCCAAGTTGGTTTTATGCTTTTTTCCTTGGTTGTGCGTGAGGTAACTGCCCTCACTGTTGTGTTGTGTCGGGCACAGGTTGCATCTGTAGGAACCAAGGTGATTTTTCATAAAGGTACCCTATTGATGTTGATATGCTGATGGTCACTAGGGTCAGCTGATGGAGATGCTCCCCGCAACATGGTTGCTCTCAGAAGAGGAGGCCTAACCCCACTCTTCCCCCAGGCAGTGCTGGAAGTCCATGGTGAAGGTCTTGGGGCTTTATTAAATGGGGTGAGAAACTGAGGTCCAGCTGCTGGTTTTTTTTTCCCCACTCCCCATTCCGTGTACATGCTGTGGGCAAAGGAAACACTCATGGCCATTTTAATGTTAATTTTCCCAATCATGAACAGGGAGTATCTTTTTATTTCTTCACATTTTCTTCTATTTCTTCTAATGTCTTATAGTTTTCATTGTACAGGTACTTTACCTCCTATATTGTTTTTGTTTATTTCTAGTATTTAGTTCTTTTTGATGTGATTGTAAATGGGATTGTTTTCTTGATTTCTTTCTCTTCTAAGCTCATTGTTTGTATATGGGAACACAACTAATTTTTGTAAAGTGATTTTGTAACCTGTCACTTTTACTATACTGACTTGTTATTTTAATTAGTATTTTAGTGGAGACTACAGTTTTTTATGTATGTTACATGCAGATAGTGATAGTTTTACTTCTCTTCTTATTCCTGTATATCTGAAAGATTATGCTTCTTGTGGTTAGGTAGGAGTTAATGAGGTTAGTCTGGTCACTAATTTAGTGTAGTGATGTTTCTTGGCCAAAACATTTAAAGGACTCACTCCTTTCTTCTTCTGTCACTGTCTCTTAGAATGGTGTTTTTTCTAGATGGTGAAATTCCAAGATAGTAGAGTCTCCAGAGTCGGAGTCTCTAAGTTACTAATATTGGCAGAGCCTCCCCCGAGCCCATAATGAAAATGTAGCAAGAAAAGAAACCTTGTGTTAGTCATGGGCACTTAACTAACTATAGCAAACCTAGGCTATTCTGATTAATATAATATTGATATCATTATATTTATCAATGATGAATTTAAGGGACTGCTGTATTTATACTAAGATTTTCTATTCAATAATAGATGTCTCTAAATAGATATTTCTTTTAACATCAATCAAGGCTTTAAAGTTTTCATATTTTTTTGTTAAATTGATTTGATTTGTTATATATTTCTATTCAATTATGAATGCCAATTTCTTACCAGCTTTAAAAAATTATATAAAAATACACATATATCAAAATGTTTTTGTATCAAGTGAAAATTATACATAAAGTTGAAATCTTACAATTAATCATTATGTTAATATATAATTATATTATTAGCAATATTAATATAATAGTCATTATTAACAGTTTGACAAACATCGCTTCATACATATACACACATATATACCGTTACATTTTCTGCCTTGCAATTTGTACACTGGACAGTTACTTCTTTAGCATTTTAACAGGCACTTCATTAGATTTATTTTTTTTAAGTTTTATTTTTATTTATGCATACAAGAACTGGGGTGTAGGTGTGGGGGGCTGAAAGGATTCACCAGAGACAGAATGGGGAGCAGAACAGGTAGATCTACTGAAAAACACTGCTGAGGGGAGCAGTGGGCCAGAGAGGACAGGTCTGCTGTGCCAGGTGGGTTAGCTCCCTGGCTGTGGATTATCTTAGGCTGCAGGGGCTTGCAATAGCTCAACAGCACTGAGACTTTAACCCCTGTGCCACCAGCGAGGCCCAAATTTGTTTTATTTTTTTTTATTTTATATATTTTTACATCCTTTTACATTTTTGCACATTTTATGCATTTTCATCTTGGTTATATTCCCCATATAATTCCCTTGTGTTCTCTAGGTATATAATCTCATCACATGCAAACATGTCACCTTCTTTCAGGTTTTCATACTCTTATATTACTAATTTGCACTAAGATTTCCAGAGTAGAAAGCAGTAGTGTTGACAGTGAACATTACTGTCTCATTTCTGACTTTACTAGAAATGTAAAACTCATGGTTGTTATGCTAATTCTTAGGCAATTAACTGTTCATCCATTTGAAAATGGTATATTCTTCAACTAGATTTTATACTTAAATAACATAAATAATAGAGAATAATTTAGTTTTGGTTAATTTAGAAATTACTTTAATTATATAAAAATGTCTAATTTATTATGTCATCTTATCACAAGCATAACAAAAAGGCATACCAACCTCTCCTGCTGTCAACTTCTCTCTCACATTTTTCCAATAAATGTCTTTATTTTCAGTGTTAGTGAAAAGGAGTAGCCACTCTGCAAAGTCTTCCTTTCTCATAAAATTCAAACCTTTAGAAAACTGCAGGAATTCCATTTCTTGGATCTCTGTTTGCAAACTTTCCATAAACCTAAATGTTAAAATACAAGACTGATACAAGTAACTAGTGGAATATTATAATGTTGCAATATGGCATTGCAGCTCTTTAGCATCACCAGTTGAGTGGTTAGACTCTTGATAAGGTAGTTTGGATGGAACAATAATGCTGTGCAAAGGGCTGTGAAAAGATTATTCAGTCCAACAATTGCTTTAAGTTGTGACTTCTTGTACTTAATTTTTGCAAATTATACTTGACAACCAAAATCATGATAAATATTTAAAATTTATGTAACATGTTGTTTTGATACAACCATAGAAAATAAAATCACATGGAAAATTACTTTTTGTATATATAAAAATTATCAATTATTGCAGAAACTTGTATTTTAGTTGGGAAACAACTTTTAGAACATTGATCATAATTAATGGTTTCTAATATATTTCAGATACCAAAGTTGATCTCTGTAATCAATGGCTTTGCATCAAAAGCTTAGACTTACTTAAAAATAGCTGTACTCTCCGGAATAACATATGACTTTTATGACTAATTTTTTTTTTTTTGGTAATAAAAACATTTCACTTTGACCAAACTGTTGATGGCTTCCTGAGAAAGGTGAAAGTTGAAAGTGTATCAAGTTAAAAATATTTTCTTTGAGCAAGAACCCAGAAATGCTGCACCTTATCTATTTATAATCAATACCATGTGAAAAGTATTATTATTTCTATGAGTTTTACTATTTGTCATGCCTTAATTTAATAAGAATATAAATGGGACAAAAGAGAGATATATATCAGTTTAATGGATGAAGTACTGTCATTGTTAAAAAATTACTTGCTTTATATTCTAAATTTATCCCATTAACCTTAAAACATGAATTGGAAGTTTGATTTTAGTTTCCTTTCTATGTGCTAAGGGTCTGTTGCCTGCAGTACTTCCTGAATATATTAGACACAGATTAATCAATGCCATGTGTCTTTTTGGGTCAAAGCAGAATTTTATCTAAAATTTGAAGCATTTCAAGTTTGTACCTATGGATCAACATAATCTTTTACAGATAGTCTTTGCCCTTAGTTTTACTGAGTTTTATTGTACTATGTACTGTGATAACATTCAATTTTTTCTAATTAGGACTGTTAAAACAATGCTTTACTGAAGAAGAGAATACAGTGAATCAGGGAAGTAAAAAATAATGGTCTAAAAACATTATTAATGTATTCTTTTCCTTTTTCTTTAGTCTCTCAGGCTGAAATATAAGAAACTTAATTATTAAACTACACATTTTTTGATTTAAGCTGCTTTTATCTTAACTAATTAGACTTTTGAAGAATGTGAGTATATTTATGTTAATAATTTAACTAAAATTTTATATTTTATTATGACACATTTACCCAGTATACCACTGTTTCAGTCATGAATGAATTTAGATGAGCCTCAACTAGTAACTGGTTTTTCAGAATTAAAAAAAATTCCATTCCTAAAAAGTTCATCAGTATCAGTATCCTCCAAATTTTTCCTGACATCAAACTCCCAGATTATTTCTGGTCACTATTTTTAAGGCTAACCATTAGAGATTGAAAGGCAGGAAGAAAAAGGCAGAAGACTCCAAATAAAGTGGGAGAGAAGAGGGAAACAAGACAGGAAAAAAAATGTAAAACAAAGAGGTACTGATGGAGAGCGGGGAAATGTCATACACAGCTGCCTGATTAGCCTGATCATCAGTCCCATTTTTCCTGAATGATGTATTTGTTGGTAAAGAATGGAATTTCTCAAGTAAATATGAAAGCTGTTGCTTTCATAACAATGAATAAACAGCAAAATTCCATGAGACAGAACTAAAAATTATACTTAAGTTTTAAGAGTTTCAGGATTTTATTTGCAAAATCTATTGATATCCACAAGTTCACTCATTAGCTGATGAATTTCTCTTGACATGGTAATATTTAATGTTTGTGCCGTGGTCACTAATCTATCACTCTTTCCTTAAAAGCCTTTCAATGCACCCAACTACCTACCAGAGAACTGTGGGACTAATTCTTTCAGGATTGTTGTGGTCAATCAAACCTTTTAAGACAGTTGTGAGTCTGAATATCACCTTTTCAATTCCTAAGGTATATGACCCTGAACCAAGTTCCTTAAATCAAACAATCCATTGTTTTATAAAAAGGAATGACTACCTATTTCACTTTGTGAACAGGTGGAATAATATATGTAAAATACCTAAGACAAATGATAGCCACACAGTGAAATATTCAATAGACAGTAGTTGTGATGGCACTTGTGGATAACTATCTTTCCCTTTTCATCCTTTCTCAAGCCCAGGCTCTATTTTCAATTGCTCCAGCCACTTGCTTTTTCAAGTGCTATTAAAAGAAAACCATACAATTCCTATACATAATGGTACCAGCATAAATTCACACCCTGTACTTTCAAATTGGATCCTCAACCCTTCTAGACACACCTTTGAGTCTGGAAACATTTTTCACTTTATATAGCTATTTCAACCCCTTTACACTATTTATACACCTACTGCTTTGGCTTTCCATTTGTCCTCAGCAGATGATCCTGCCCCAACTTCTCAGAGAAAGCAGAAATCATAATTTAGTAAATTCATTCTTTTTAAAAATTTTTTCTTGCCATCACTTCAGAACTGTAATAACACCTATGAAAAAGGAGTCCCTTTTCTTCTTGATGGCTAACTTATCTACTTACACTCTGAGTTCAACCCATATTTCTGTTTTTCTTTCTCAGCAGGGACTTTGTTCCTTCAGTTAGGCCCCATCACCCCTGTATTCAGTCTTTTTCTCTTTTTTTCATCATTTAAACATGTGGGGAAAATTGTCTTACATTTGCTTCCTGCTAGTACCCTCTCTTTTCCCCTTGTTTGCAGTAAATCTGCTTAAGAGAGTATCTGCATTTTTTTTTTCTATTTACCCCTCATTCATTCTTCACTCTACCGCAATCAGGCTTTTGTATTCAGTGACAATATTTAAGCTACATTCATTTTCTTACTAAACTGGTTTTGCTTTGTACTTTCTAGGTCAGTGACTATGTCTCACCCGATTCATTGGCTCCAGTCACAAATTTCATTTTTCCCTTACTCACTTTCTTCATCTAGTCAGTCACCATATACTATTAATTTCCTACTTTTAAATAATCTCTTGGTTTCTTCCATTCCTCTTTATCCTCAATGTTACTACCATAGTCTAACGTTTTGTTTGATTTCCTCAATAAATTTGCCAAATCTGATGAGGGGTTTCCTTGTCATGTCCTTTGGTGGGGCAGGGGGTTGGGGATTCACCAGAGACAGTGGGGAGCAGAAGAGGAAGATCTACTGAAGTATACTGTTTAGGGCAGCAGTGGGCAAGACAGGAGAGGTCTGCACCATGTGGTTTAGCTCTCTGGGGATCGAACTTGTGCCACAGTGGCTGGCGATAGCTGATAGTGCTGAGACTTTCACCACAGTGCCATCAGGGAGGCCCAGGTGGGGAAAATTTTTTGCCAGAGTCAAAGAATTAGATGAAATATTCCTTGAACTACATTGAGTTGAAACAAGATGCAGTCTCCTACCGCCCAAATTAGTGTAATTTTTTCCATGTAATCTCTGTACTGTTTTCTGATATTTAAGAATCTGGTTAGTAGAGAGGCACATTGTCTCATTTAGCATGGAATTATTCTTAGTGAGGAGAAAAATTCATTTTGATGTTTATAAAATTATATTAAGTATCATCATTCCCATTTTACAGTTAAAAGAAATGAGCTCAGAGTAATAAGTAAGTGCTTAGAATTGGCCTTGGTGTAAAGCTTTACTGGGGCATGGACATGTCCCCTGGATAATACAGAGTTTGTGGTTACTTTCACAGAGTAATAGTAGAGTTGAGTAGTTGTGACAGAGACCAAATTTACTATATGAGCTTTGTAGAGATGTTTGGCAACCCATGTGTTAATCAGAGATTATATGGATCATAGGCGAGTTGTCCCAGCTGAGGCATCTTAGGAGATGCTGGAGTTGTTGCAGCTGCCAGATTAACTCAGTAACAGACTGCAACTGCATGAGTATGTCCAAAGAGCTACTGGCCCCCAACAGGAGAACCACCCAGTTGATTTAAAACACTATGGAAATAATAAACTGGTCCAACCACTATGGAGAGCTGTGTGGAGATTTCTGGACCTACTAAACATAGAGCTTCCATATGATCCAGCAATTCCACTCCTAGGTATTTACCCAAAGGACACAGAAACATCAATTCCAAAGAGCACCTGCACCCCTATGTTTATAGCAGCACTGTTTACAATAGCTAAGCTTTGGAAACAACCCAAATGCCCAAAAATAGATGACTGGATCAAGAAGATGTGGTACATATATACCATGGAATATTACTCAGCATTCAAAAAAGATAAACACATGCAATTTGCAGCAACATGGATGGTGCTGGAAGGGATCATGCTCAGCGAAATAAGCCAGAAAGAAAAAGAAAAATACCGGATGGTCTCACTCATAGCAGGAATCTAGAAAACTTAAATAAGGGACCAGGAAAATGAATAACTATAAGAAAGTGAAAATCAAAATCAACAAAAAACTATGAACCAGAGACACTCTATGAGGGGTAGGGGGGGAGGGGAGGGATTGGGGTCAAAATAAGGGGGTTGCAATTGTATGGGGAATATAAAAATAAAATTTATTATAAAAAAAACCAAAAAAAACCACTATGGAAATAATAAATGATCAATGTTTTAAGTTGGGCTGTTTTGTTTTACATTATGAAACTAATTGATAGATGTGGCTGCAAACATTAAGTTACTAAAAATAAATATTTTATTTTATAAAACATATTATCTTTCATAATAGTTTAGATATATTTTTGAACATGTAAAACTATGTATTTCATAGGTTTTGTTCTCAGAGATGAATACCATAGAGATTGACACATAGTATTTAGTTTTATGGTCTGCAGTTGCAGGAAATGAATATATTCAGTTTCTTTACTTCTTACTTGTAAAATTTCCTTAAATGAAAATATTGGCATTTACCTTCGAAATTCTCTATAATGAAGTTTTTTTTCTCCTCTTTTTCCAAAGAAATGAATCTCAAGGGTTGTGGTAACATCACAATCTTTCACTGTTGTGTTCTATTAAAAAAAAAAAAATATATATATATATATATATATATATATACACATACATACATACACACACACACACACACACAATGACTTCATGTAATTGTAACCAAGAAGAAATATAGACTTAATCTGGGACTCTTAGGACAGTATCCATAAAAGACTCTTGTAACAACCACAAGGTGGAAAAGAGATATGCAGCCACCACTCCGTAACTGCCTAACACTGTTCTAGAATCATCTTTGTTCAAGCAGGAGAAAAACAACAAGGGTTTGAAACAAAATACTCACTGTAGACTTCAATAGCAAATGAAATCTTAGGCGAGGCAAAACAAACAAACAAACAAAAAAAACGTGTTGAGAATAGTGAAATAAATCATTTCAAAATGTACTTTCAAAGCATTTTTAATGAAGCAGCACAGCAAATTAAATCAGGAAAGTGAGTTTTTGCTGAATGTCAGAAATACATTTGCTTTTTCTAATTATAATTTCATTAAATATAATAAGTAAAAGAGATTCAAAAAGTCTTTCCTCCAAATCTTTAAACAAAAACAATCAAGAAAAACTGCTAAAAGATTAACAACAAAAAAGGGCTACAATTTTAAGACAAATATTTTGAAAAATATCAGATAAAGAAAACTAGATTTACATGTTGTATAGTCTAGTATGTCCCCTAATCCTATACTTAACTCTACTTCTTAGCAACAGCAGTAGGAAGTGAGATTATTATTAGAACTAACTGTGTAAAAACTTTCAAGTTAGCAACAAGTACGTTAGTGGGGTAAAGAAGGTAACCCTGGAACAAGTCATGGAAAAATTCCAATAAAAGTTGCTATATAACTTCATGAGACTTGGGCAGTGGGAGGTAGGGATTCCAAGACATGATGTTAAATAGAGGGACTACTCAGAAGCCCAAACAGTGGGGTATACTTTGGAGGGGTGTAGTAGTCTGTGGTTTAGGACTTTTACTGGATCACAGAAGAGAGGACAGAACTTAAATACATTTGGCAAAGGCTGCATTTAGCCCAAAGAACTCTTCTTTGCCTCTATTTCTTCAGTGTACAGAAGAGTGAATCAAAATGCAAGGTAAATTAGTTCCAAGTAAGGTGGGAAGACTATCATGGAGAATTTTATTCAGACTCTACCAGTGTAAAGAGAAGGTCTAGACAGAGTATTCACACAAGCAAGAAAAATGATGTGACAACTAAGCAAAGGCATTGCAGCAAGAAGCAGAAGAACACAAACAATCCAGTCTAGGAGAACACATAGTCTAAGGATCAAATGTTTATCCCTATGAATCCTTATATCAAAATTATTTTTTCTATTTTGAGGTAATTGCAGATTCACACACAATATTAAGATACAATGCAGAAAGATCTCTTGCACGCTTTACTCAATGTCCTCCAATGGTGACATATGCCAAAAGAGCACGTCAATTTGATAGTGTACAAAAAGAAAAAATCCTTTACCATAAGGATTCCTCATAATGCTTTCTTATAGTCACAGATCCCTCCCCCCCCCCACCCCTCTTTATCCTTTGGCAACCACTGATCAATTCTCCTTTTCTACAATTTTGTCATTTCAAAAATGGATCATAACAATATGTAACCTTTTGTACTGGCATTTTTAAAAATATAATTCTCTAGATATCCATCCAGGTTGTTGCTGTGTCAATAGTTTGTTCCTTTATATTGCAGAATAGTACTCCATTATATGGATCACTACAGTTGTATGACATCTGTGTTATTTCCAGTTTGAGAAAATAAAGTTAAAAAACAGTTACTAAAAACATCTATAGAGATTTTTGTGTGAACACAGGCTTCCATTTTTCTGGCATCAATGCCAGGAGTACAATCAGTGTTTCATTACAGGCAGTATAATTTTACATTCCCACTAGAAAAGAATGAATGATCCAGTTTCTTTGCATCCTTGCAATCATGGGTGCATTGCTCTAATAATTAGTGATGTCGAGCATCTTTTCATGTGTTTGTTGCTAATTTGCACATATTCTCTTAGGTAAATGTCTATTCAAATCCTTTGTTAAGTTTTAATTGGGTTGTTTGTACTGTTACTATTGAGTTATAGGGGTTCTTGATGTAAATCCTAGTATAGACCCTTATGAATATATGATTTGCAAATATTTTCTCCCATTCTGTAGGCTGTCTTTTACTCTCTTAATAGTGTTCTTTGATGGAAAAAATGTTTAATCTTGATGAAGTCCAACATATCTCTTTTTTCTTCCATTGCTTGTGTTTTTAGTGTTATATCTAAGAAATGACTGCCAAATCCAATCATGAAGTTGCTCTTCTGTTTTCTTCTAAGAGTTTTATGTTTTAGCTTTTACATTTAAGTCTTTGACTCATTTCAGTAATTTTTGTATACAGTGTGAAGTAGAAGTCCACTGTCATTCTTTTGCAAGTGGATATCCAACTGTGCTAGCATCATTTGTTGAAGAGACTTAAGCAAATAAAATTATTTTATACATTTTTCTTTTTAAAATGGAGCATATTTCTTAATATAGATATGCCATGATTTTTAATGGTTATTGCATTATATGTGTTATTCTATGTGTAACATTTTTCACTACAGCAAGCAATGTTACTTTATTTCTTTTTATTAAATATATATTCCTTTTTTTTCCATTCTTGTGTTTATCAGTGAACAGAATGAAAAGGCCCAAATTGCCCCTTCCTCTTGGCAGTAGGGAAATCTCACACAGTAGATGTGTGCTAGCCAAGAATGCCTGCCATAATGTAATGAGCTCTTTTCCTACTGCTAGACCGTTTCCAAATTTTTAAAATACACATGCTGCTCTGAGAAATATTGTTATATATATATCATTATATGTCTGCATTTATAAATTCCGAGAAGTGAAACTGTTTGGTCAAATGGGATATGTGCTTGAATTTTGCAAACACCCTCAAATCTTAGAGAACACCAAAGATTATCAATCATTTATCTTTACCAATCAATGAGGAAAAATAAAGTACAAAACCAAAACACTATTTTTTCACAGTGCATTTCTTTGATTATTCACATTTGTTATCATTTGTGTTACTTCTGCCAATTGCCTCTTTAGGCTTTTCGCCTATTTTCTACTGAGATGTTAGTTGTTAAAAAACAAAAACAAAAACAACAGTAGTCAAATTTTCTTTAATGGCCTTGGAACAGAACATATCTCAAGAATATAAAAATAGTTACTTGCATGTTCTTATAGTATATCCAAAGTTTGATTTTTGACATTGAAATCTGTATTCATTTGGAAGTTATTTTGATATAACCAGATGATAAAAGAACACATCATAAATGCTGGAAAACAATACCTCTGGTTCTTTTTTTTTCTTTTTTAAAAGATTTATTTATTTATTTATACAAGCACTGGGTACAGTAAGAAGCGCGGGAGGGTGAGAGAATTCACCAGAGGTGAATTCACCAGAATTCACCAGAGCGGGGAACAGAACAGGCAGACTGATGAAATACACTGCTGAGGGGAGCAGCGGGCGGCAGGAGAGGTCTGTCGTGCCATGTGGGACCCTCGCTGGTGGCCAGGGATCGAACTGGCGCTGCAGAGGCTGTGGGCAGCTTTGCAGCCCAGCGCTCAACCGCTGCGCCACCAGGGGAGGCCCATACCTCTGGTTCTTTGAAAGAATTAAAAAAATAGACAAAATTCTAGCTGAGTTCACAAAGAGGGGAGAGAACTCAAATTGGATTAGAAACCAAAGAGAAATTATAGACATCTCAGAAATTCAGAGGATTATAAGACTATGAACATTTGTATGTTAGTAAGTTCAGTTACCTAGAAGAGATGGACAAATTCTCAGAAACATATAATCATCTGAGACTAAACAGAGAAGATATAGAAAATCTGAATAGACAATTATAAGCAATGAAATGGAAACAGTAATCAAAAATCTCCCATATCAAAAAAAACCCCCCCAAAACAAAAAACACAAAGCCCAGGACCAGATGGTTTCACTAGTGAGTTCTATCAAACCTTGAAAGATGAACAAATACCTATTATGCTCAAACTCTTTCAGAAAATTAAGAAAAAGTGAATACTTCAAAACACATTTTATGAGGCCAATATCACTGGTACCCAAGCCAGGCAAAGACATGGCCAAAAAAAAAAAAAGAAACAAAATTATAGAACTAATTTTCCTAATGAATACAGATGCAAGAAGCCACAACAAAATTTTAGCAAACTGAATTCAACAATACACAAGTAGGATTTATAGCAGAGCCACAGAATGGTTCAATAACTGAAAATCAATCAATATAATTTATCACATCAGAAAAGGAAAGATAAAGATCACACCAAAAGCACTTTTAAGTTTCGACATTCATTTATGATTAAAACCCTCAAAAAACCTGGGTATTTATATATATATGTCATTATATGGAATATACCTGGATGGAATATACCTCAACATAATAAAGACCACACATGGCAAACCCTAGCTAGCATAATTCTCAACAGTGAAAACCTGAAGGGTTTTCTACTAAGATCTAGAACAAGACAAGGATGTCCACTTTCTTACAGCTTACTCCACACAGTATTGGAAATCCTAGCTAGAGCTATGTAAAAGAAAATTAGGATAGAAGTAAAACTATCACAATTTGCAGATGACATGATAATAGACACAGAGAACTCTAAAAACTCTACTAAAAAACCTAATTGAAACAATAAATCAATTTATCAAAAGTATCAAGCTGCAAAATCAATACACAAAAATCAGGTGTCTTCCTATACGCAAACAAGGAGCTAAAAGAGGAAGAAATTAAGAAAGCCATTCCAGTCACGGTAACACCAAAAAATTTATTAAATACCTAGGCATAAATTTAAAAGAGGTGAAGTACCTATACAAAGAAAACTATAAAACACTGCTAAAAGAAATAGACATAAAGAAATGGAAAGCTATTCCTTGCTAATGATTGGAAGAATCAGCATTGTCAAAATGGCATCCCAACCAAAAGGAATATAAAGATTCAATGCAATCTCTATCAAAGCCTCAATAGCATCCTCCAAGAAATGGAACAAACATTATTGTAATTCACATGGAACTGCAAAAGACCCCAAATAGACAAAGCAATCCTAACCAAAAAAAGGGGAAGAACGGCAATATCACACTCCCGGACTTCAAACTATGTTGTAAAGCCACAAAAATTAAAACATGCTGCTGGAACAAAAAACAGACACGCAGACCAAAGGAATAGTATCCAGAGCCCAGAAATAAACCCACACCTATATGGGGCACAATGGAATATGAGAATGGAATGGACTGTGGGTGCTTTGTGATTTCACAACACGGTACTATTTTGTATCAAAGTCACTACCTTTCTGATAACAGAATTGGCAAGGGAGCTGGATCCTGTAATTTTAAAAAGTAATCTTTTTTCCTGCCACAGAGGGATTTGTAATCCTATTAAAGCCAATCCCTTTATAGTTAGGCAAGTGGGTGGGGGTGGGGGGGGAGACAAGAAGGAAGGAAGGAAGGGGGTGATCCTGTACTTCTAAAACACAAATAAGTATGTAATCCAACACTCACACACACACACACACAAATTAAGTTACTGATAATTTTCCCAACTATTTGGGAAGAGTTATTTGAACAAACAGAACAGAGCTGCTATTATAATCATCATCCATTTGGAAATAGCTTGTACATACCTGGCATTCTCTTTCATTAGCTGTCTTCAAATCGTCTTCTTTACTTAAGATCTTTTGCAGCTAAAAAGATTATAAACATATATTTAGATGTACATCTATTGATTTTTCAAAACAACCTAAAAAACAGATGCCAAGTTTTAATTATAAATATTAGTTAACTTTTTGTAATACAACACCTAACATTTTTTTTACTATATTTTTTACTAAATTATGTAAGAATAAAAGGAGAAATAGATATTCAAGTATTAATGTTTATTACTATATTCTGGGTCATCTTTTTCCCCTTAAGAAAACTGCCTTACTTAACATGTATTATAAAGGCATCACTCTATTGAGCCATGATTTTACCTGTGTCCTACTTGCAAGAGAATTTTTATTCATAATTAATTTCATGTATCACTGATAATTTATAGTCACATTTTCAAACTGCATCTTGGAATAGCCAAAGCTATTTATAGCATATAAATGTTCTTCCTTTTCATTTTATGCATTTATAAAGTATTTAACAGAGTTTAAAGACCTATAGTTCAGTTAATTATAAAACTGTCAACAGCACCTCGAGATTGAGTACATTAAAAAACCTACCTTACCTTTTAGAGTCATTTATACCAATCCTCATGTGATAGCAAGTGGAAAAAAAAAAGGTTTAAGAAAAATCAAATGGCAAAACCTCTGACTACAAATTTAGATTAGGAGACAAATCTTCACCCATTTTCTTGTAGGCAATTTTTATGTTAACAGGTATTTCTTTGAAAATTGCTGCATCTAAATTCCAAATTAATTATCTCAAATTGCTACTATTATTGTTTGTTTTAGGGAAATGGTGTATCTCTAGTTCTCTAAATTCCTACTCAACTTTTCAACTCCGACTCCCCTATACTTATTCTAGGACATCTCTCCCTTATTTTACTGTATCTTCCTTAAAATATTTTTATTATGCAAAATTTCAAACACAGCAAGTAAAGGAATTCTGTAATAACCAACCATATACGCATTATTCAACTTCAACAATTATTGGTATTTTGGTATTCAAGGTTCATTTATACTTTTATTTACTTCCTGTTCTCTTTGTAATTATTTGTAGCTCTCAGGAAAAACTTACATACATTGAAGTGTACAATTTTGGCCATACAATTTTGACAAATGTATACACCTGATTAATCTATATTCCTTTTAGACATTAGAACAAGTTTTTGTCTCTTCTTAGTCATTCCTTTCTTTCTACATCCCCTACTGAAGCTGAATTACAGTCCACCCCCCTACCTAAATTAGTTTCACTTAATTTAGAAATCCAAATATGTGATACTAAATAGAATGTATTTTTTGGTATTTCCTTCTTTCTTGTCCCATCCCCCCACCCACTTGCCTAACTATAAAGGCTTTAATAGGATTACAAACTCCTCTGTGGGAGGAAAAAATATTACCTTTTAAAATTATAGGATCCAGCTCCCTTGCCAATTCTGTTATCGGAAAGATAGTGATCTTGATACAAAATAATACCATGCTGTGAAATCACAGGAATCATAATTCTGAGGATCAACATCTGCAGAGTGGTGATGGTGCATCAGTACCTCAATTTTCTCCCAACTTTATGAGTCTAAGAGGACTCAATTCACTCAAGGGCAAAGAACTGGAGCATGTGTACACCAGGCATTTGGACACCAAATACAGGTGCATCTTACCCCCATCTCACCACCCTGGTACAGTCACAGAACCTTTGGATATCTATGGGCATAGCAAAGTGGTGGAATGGCTACAAATATGGGTTCTGGTGTCCAACAGTGCTGCTGCCAACCTCCACTCTCCTGTTACTACTACTCTGACTATCCCCCAGCTTCTCAACCTCCAAACTTGTTTCCTCACCTACAGAATAACAACGACAATAACTGCAAATTCTTAAGGTTTCTTCTACGTGCTGGATGCATGGTTCCAAAATTCTCTCCTGTAGGAAATCATTTAATGGTAACACCACACTCTCTCTTCCAGGGGTAAAAATGAGGAGTAAGTTAAATTTATTCCAGTACCCAAAAGTCCTCCTGCTCAATAAATGCTAGTTTCAATTTGGAGGCTGGTAGAGAGAAGGGGCTGTCATCATGTTCAATGCTGGGTTTTTACAGTGCTGGGTACATGGGAGGCATTTTATCAGCATTGGTGGAGAGGATCCAACTTCAGATTGCATTGATCCCCAGTCCTCTGGAGAAGTGCACCTGGGACCTTAGGGGGCTTCTGGGACCTGTCTTGTCTGAGTTCGATGACACTGGTGTTGTGGGTCCTGCTCCCATTCTCCCTCCAGAGGTCCTCGGATGGCTGATTACTCTTCTGACCAGTTTATCTAGGAGGCCCTGAGAGTCTTCACCAGGAGACAGGTGGTCATGTCGTCTCTTGGTGTTCTCTCTCAGATTGTGAGTCTCCTTCACCTGCTGTCAGATTCCTCGGATACTTCACTGAGACATTATTGTGTCAGACACTTTAAAGTTGACAAATTAGGGCCTTCCTGGTGGCTCAACTGGTTAAGACACAACCTATGAAGCTATCCTCAGCCAGGGATCTACCCATACGGCGCATCAGACCTCTCCTGGTTCGCCTGCTGCTCTCCTCAGCAGTGTATTTCAGTCAGTCTGCCTGTTCTGTTCCCCACTCTGTCTCTGGTGAGTCTTCTCATCCCTCACACCTCTGGTCTGTACCCCAGTTCTTGTATGCATAAATAAATAAATCTTTACAAAAATAAAGTTGAGGGCCTCCCTGGTGGCACAGGTGGTTGAGCGCAGCGCTGTGAAGCTGTCCGCAGTCTCTGCAGTGCCGGTTTGATCCCCGCCGGCCGCGGAGATACCCACATGGGGTGATAGACCTCTCCTGTCTTGCCTGCTGCTCCCCTCAGCAGTGTATTTCCACTATCTGCCTGTTCGGTTTCCTGCTCTCTCTCTGATGAATCCTCTCACCCTCCCGCACACCTGGCTTGTACCCTGGTCCTTGAATAAAAATAAATAAAATAAAATAAAAAGTTGACAAATCAGTCTTCTTCAGCATTCCCCACATCATCATATATATATATCAAATGCTGCATTCATGTCTCACTCTTCTGGTGCCATAGCAGGTAGGTGTGGCGCAGGCAGATGAGCAGCTTGTGCAGCATGGTAGTGTGCTCCCTCTCTCCAGTTTGTTCTGCCTGTTCAGCAAGGAGTGAGCAAGGCTTCTATGCATGTGCTTCAGCTTCCTCCTGTCCATGAGTCATGGGCACAGGAATCTGAGCTCTGTAAGCTCACTCTCAGATAGGCAAATTGGCCAACATTGAGAACAGTAGCACTGAAAGGGGTCCATGCTAACAGGTGCATTGTGGCTAGGTTGGCCCTCTGCATATGTTTCTACCCACATGGAGGCTGCTGCCTGCTCAGTCACCTGCTGTCAGCCCAAGCCCCATGGTCCCTGGCTATTTCCTCACTGCCTGGCACATTGATTCTGTCACTAAAAGTCCCTGTGCACTTTCTTTCACTCAGCATAAAGGTTTTGAGATTGTTCCATGTCCTTTGTGTATCAGTAGTTTGTTTCTATTTATAATGGTGAGTTGTATGCCATTATATGAAGATAACTATTTGTCCATTCATCACCTCCTGATTGATGTTTGCATTGTCTTCAGCTACAGTGAATCAAGGTACCATAAACATTTTCTCTTTATTAGCTTTACTATATAAAAACTGCACATACTTAATGCATATATTTGGATGACTTTGGACATATACACACACCTGTGATTCATCACTGTAATCAAGGAAACAAACATATCACCCCAAAAGAGTTGTTAGCCACTGATTTTTATTTTTGGTGGTAAAAATGCTTAGCCTGTGATGATGTACCCTCTTAAGTTTTTAAGTACATAACACCATATTGTTGACTATATGCACTATGTTGTACAGATCTCTGTGCCATAGATTTTCTTGAACCTTTTTTGGTGGACATGTTCTAATATACAGTACTATAGTAATAGTTCCATTTAAAAAAAAAAGACAAACGTTGTGTGCCCAGCTATTTTCTTAAGCTAAAAGGTTTCCCTGGTTTACTAAGTTACTTAAAACAGTTGTACATGAAATCGATTCATGAAAGCAATGTACTAAGTGCCTATTATGGTTGAAAGTGCTGTTCTAAGTGTTGCAAATATAGTCCTTAAGGATTATATATAGTCCTCTGCCCTTAAGGGTAGATAGTGTCCTTGTTTTCAGTGAACTTACCATAATACTGGGCTAGAGATAACAAATTTGAGAACAATTAATTAAGAGAATTTCAGATAGTAAAGTGTTATGACCAATTAAAATAAAATAAGGTAGGGTAACATGATTCAGAGACTTCAGTGGAAGAGTTACTGTTAAATAGGCTTACTTTATGTGGTTCTTTTGAGGACATGCCATTTGGGCTAAGAATGTAATTATTAAAAGCTATGAAAAGAATTGGGGAAAGGGTTTCAAAGAAGGAAGAGCAAAGTTTCTGGTAGAAATTGGGGTGTTCTGTTAGAAAAACAGAAAGAAGGTACAGCTTTTATACACAGGTGGTAAAAGAAGCATGAGGACAAATTCACCAAAGACAAATTTTGAATGAAGAAGTACTATCAAGTCAACCATTTAAATTCATACTGGTTCATATTTAATTTCAGGCTAAAAATGAAGAAAGGTATGTACAATCACTTTAACTTATTTCACTTTCAGGAGCATCATTGTGTAAATTCTGAAACAAGATTATTCCAAATTCAAGAATAAATTATGCTGAAGGTATTGTATTTAGTTAACAGTAACTCTAGCACATATATTTTGCATAATAAAATTATAACACTGCTATATTAAGAGCACAGTCCTTCTTACCTGTATGAAAGTGATGTGAAATAAAAGCATCACCTTAGGAGAAATTTATACTAGTAAAATACATTTGTCATTAATTTACTGTTTAAAGAAATCACACTGAAACCCTGGCATTGATTCCAAAAAGGAGATTTTTCTTTTAAAGATTTATCTATTTATGCATACAAGAACTGGGGTACAGGCCAGAGGTGTGGGGAGTGGTAAATCCATATTAAATGGATTAACTATTACTTGTTTTGATCACCACTGGTGGTGTTTATTATCCACAGAGAACAGTTTATATGTACAGTTGCCATTTTATTTATTCTTAGGATAAAGAACCAAGCAATACACTTATCAACACGATTTCTAGATCTGGCTTTTAATAGAACATGAATGTACCACCAAACATGAAAAGTAACAAACTGAGTCAATTTATGATTTAGAAGGTTTTCACAAGACTTTATATTGATGTATTTTAACATTATCTTTGCATTTGCTTTCAAATCACTTTTATTACATCTACATTTTGGTATAAAAGTAATTCTCATTTCTTGCACTTATGGTAGGAAGAGCAATAAATAAAATTTACTGGGGAAACATTCAGATAAGCTATAAAAACAAACAAAAACTCCAAAACAAACAAAACCTGACCCTTCAAATATGCTTTTAAGAAATACTTACATTTCCAAATATAAGATACTATATACTTAAGTTTTCTAATACAATGACAATGGTAATATTTTACTTTTTAAAAAGATTTATTTTTACTTATTTACGCATAAGAGAACATCTTACATTATTTTATACATTTATTCATTAATTATCAATCTTTCTTTCTAGAATATAAGTTCCTTTAAGTTAATCTCATCCACTGCTGTATCTTTTTCTTTTTAAAGATTTATTTATTTATACATACAAGAACTGGAGTACAGGCCAGAGGTGCGGGGGGTGAGTATTCACCAGAGACAGATTGGGGAGCAGAACAGGCAGATCTACTGAAATACACTGCTAAAGGGAACAGCCGGCAACACAGGAGAAGTCGCTGCGTCATTTGGGTTAGCTCCCTGGCTGGGGATTGAACTCAGGCAGCACCTCCTGCCAACTGCTTGACAGCACTGAGATTTTAACCCCTGAGTGACGAGCGAGGTCCCAATGGCAATAATTATTAAAATATAATGTAAGCATTTTCTGCTCTACGTTGCTATTTTAAATAGACATACTGTTCCATGGGTTATCAAGCTTAGTGTTTTATTTCTAAGATCAGCACAAAGTACATTTTATAGGCTTGGATTGATACACTATACATTCTCCTCCAGATAACTTCTAAACATGCTATATGTATAAACCTAATTTTTGTAAGATCCCACTGTTTTACGCATTTTCCTCTATTTAGGACATTTTTTGTTGTGTCCTTTGTTTCTACTCTTTGAGGTAGTTTCTTATATATGAAACCAGTATTTCTGAAATTATATTTGCAAAGCCCATTGTATGAACGTTGTCAAAGGGATTTACTGAGAGATATACACACAATAAAATGTACCTGTTTAAAGTGTACAGCTTAATGAGTTTTGACAAATTTATATACACATGTAACTACAATCCTAATTGAGCCCTAAAATATTTTTAGCACTCCAGAGAGTTCCTGCATGTATCTTTGCAGTCAATTCCTCACTCTCTCCTGGAGGGTGGGCCACTACACATTCCTACCAACAGCGTTCCTTTTTCTCCACACCTCTGTAAGCACATACTGTTTCTGGTCTATTTTATATGGACCATTCTCACAGGTGTGAGGCAGTAATTTCACTGGGTTTTGATTTGCATTTCCCTGATGGTAAGTGATGAACATTTCTTCATGTGTCTGCTGGCCATCTGTATGTCTTCTTTGGAGATGTGCCTATTTATGTCCCCTGCCCTTTTTTTTATTGTCCCCCCTATTTATTCTTTATAAATGCTGAAGTTTTTATTTCTCTCATTCATTTTTTTTTGGGGGGGGGTGGAGGACATATGAATAACTTTCAACATATCTAGGAAGATATTTATATTGTATTCTTATTAGCTAAAATCATAAAAATAAAACTAAAAAATGTAGAAGCTTAACCTTATTTCTCCTTTCAGAATCTTATGCACTGTTTCCTAACAGTTTCCTCAAGGCTTTATTATAAAAACAATTTAATGTTTTTAAATGTATACATAATTTTTTGAGATGATATATGTAAGCAGTGGATATAATTTCAATTTTTATGGAAATAAAATTATCACACAGAAATCTAGGTGCCATTATTATAAAACAAAAATAACTAGAATCTACTTACCTTAAAAAATTCCCTTTTTTCAACCATCTCATCACCATCTGCATCCAGCATTTTAAAAGCAACATGAAACCCAGAATGAGGTTCTGCAATCAAGTGAATATGAACAATTTAAATATAAATTGTTTGCAGATCTATAATCTTCAAATTTTGAAATAAGCTTCTAGAAATTGAGTAAATGCCTGAACTGAGAAAAAACTGATCTCTTCTTATAACAATTTTCAAAGGGTGGTATATTCCCAATAGTGTGCTGTTCTGCTATTAAGTGTTCTGCCCGTCAAAGCAAAATTAATTTGAGAACTTAATTTCTTTAGCTCTACTAGGAACTTTCTTGTAATCATTATAGTACCATAGCCATTTCATATTGACTATTACTTTTTGTTTCCCTTCCTCAAAGTAAGACTTAAAATAAATTTTTAATTTTGAAATATTTTTAGACTTACAAAAGTGTTATGAAGATAGTATACAAGTTCTCATATACTCATTACCCAGCTTCCTCTAATGATAGGGATCTTGCATAACCACAGTACCTTTACAAAAACTAAGAAATTAACATTGGTATAGCATTATTAACTAAGTTATAGTCTATTTAATTTGATGGTTTTCCTCTGTCACTCACCTCTAGAATCAAATATAAGAAATGATGATGCATGGAATTATTATGTCCCCTTTTCCTCCTCTAAGCTGTGAAAGTTCTTCAATCTTTCCTTGATTTTCATGACACTGAGTTTGAAAATTTTATAGACTATTAGGTGAGAGTTTTTAAATATTCCTAAATGAAGGCTAAGTCTGGTTGATCAAACTTTTTTGTTTTAAAAGACAAAGTTATGGGGTTCCTTACTTCAAAGGAGGAAGAAGAGACCTAAAGAGATAATCTAATCTAATACTACTGTTTTACAGATATAGAAATTAAACTACCAACAATATTTTCAATAATAAACACAGAAATACCAAACTTGCAAAATCTTGTTTGGTAAAAATGGAAAATTCCAGATGATCTTTGAAAAAAATTACAGGATACTTACTAGTGAGAATTGTAAGCAAGAAAAGATACTCAGTATATGAAATTAGCCCTAAAAGAGATAAAATAAAATCATCAGAAAATGTTTCAGAAGTCATATATAGATACTATACAAAAACATCTAATAAAACACACCCACATTTTTATTTTAAATTACTTCTCTTTGGTACAGAAGAAAACTTTTATAATAGAGAGTTGAAGTACAGTACTAATATTAAAAAAAAAAAGTCTAATAGGTTACTATTATTAATAAGGGGAATGGATGCTGACCAGCAAATAAGAGGTATCCAATAACTGGCATAATTTTTACATAATTTCTACTTAAATTTTATTATTCATACTATCTCAAGTGAAACAAACTTATAAGTTCAGTATAACAACACATTTGGATATCCAAAGTTTTCTGTAGCAGTAAGCTGATTTTCAGATTTAGATATACCAAAATTCAAATTCTATCATTTAAAATGAAATAATCAAATCCCTATAGCAGTAACTTGATTTTCATTTGGGAAACCATTTCTTCCCCATCCTCAAACATGGAGTTTAGATAGGATGACCCATCTTCACTTTTGGAGGTAGATGTTGACTATCTTAAGAAAATAATTACATTCCTGTAGAATTAGTGCAGGAATGGGGAAGTACATTGATTCACAAGTTTAAAATTTTTCTTTTGCTAGCCCTGTATCTCAAGTCTTTTTAAATCTATAGTCCTGCCTTTTCATTCTTCACCCGCCCTCTTAATTGTTGAAGAAGTCTGGTTATTTATCATGTAAAGTTTATTGCACTCTTAGAAGTTTTGCTAACTGTATCTACTCTGTGTCATTTTACATGTTCGCCTAACTGCTAAATTTCCTACAAACTGGTTCTTAGAACCAGAGGCACCCAGATTCAAGATTGATTTTTGACAAGAACTCTTAATAGATGGTGCTGTATACTTCCATCAGGAGGCCAAAATACAAATGTTTACAGAAAATGCTAAATACCAATGAGGGGTATGAATGTAAGAGTTACAGGAATACACCAAAAGATGAAATCATTTCCACAGTTTAGATGATCAGGTATGTACGTCATACAGGCAGTAAATCCAAAAATGGTCTATGACTAGTGGGTAAAATTTTCAGTTAAGATGGAATGCTGTAAGTGGGAAAGCCACAGGAGATAGAGGAGGCTGAATATGAAACTTAAAAAGTGATTGTCTGAAATAATGCTCATGTGGATAATACCAGGGGAAAAAAATGTGAAGCGGGTAAAGGTAGTAAGTATTTATCCTTTCATGTAGGAAGAATATTCCCTAACAGCTCCAATTAAAACAGAATCTCAGAGTGAAAAGTAGTTCAGGTAAGGATTTTATGTCTAGGTAATTCAGTATTTCAGCTATAAGTGACTTCAGGTTTATGTTATGTTATATTATTTATTATTGTGTGTAAGAACTTGGGTTTAGGCCAGAGTTGTAGGGGATGAGAGGATTCACCAGACAGAATGGGGAGTAGAACAGGCAGATTTACTGAAATATACTGCTAGCGGGAGCAGAGGGCAAGACAGGAGAGGTTTGCTGCTCCATATGTGGATTAGCACCTTGCCATGGACTGAATGCAGGACATAATAGAAGGTATATTTTAAATGCTTTTAGAAAACTAGAGATCAAGTGGGACACTGAGTGGAAAGGAACTATTGCAGGCACTGCACCTGTGAATGGGAACTGTGGAGAACAATGTGGGAAACACCATGGAGGTAAGTGAACGGCTCCAGGTGCCATTAAAGGAAGGTAAGGACTCCGAGGAGAGACCTGCAAATAGCCAAAGGCCAGCAGGTAAGCTTGTGTGGAAAAGCACATACACTCGAAAAGGAGAGGCTGATCGTAGCTGCCCAGGTCCCCTCGCTGTGACCTAGGTTTGTGGGGAGATGCATGGGAATTGACACTGAGGTGAATGACCCTCACTGAGTAATCAAAAACCAGGCGCCTGGGCATGGGAGCAGGGTTCAAAAGCCGCCATTTCTGCAAAACTGAACTGGGCTACCACCCACGTCCTGGATCTGAGGGCTTCAGAACTGAGAACCGGGGCATGAAATTTGTGGCGTGGAATCCCCACGATAGTGGGGCAGATGGCAGACACAGCACCCCCACGCCATTGAGTCACTACACACCATACCCACTCTGTTCCCCAGAGAGCCAAGGGGAAAAAAAAACACAGTTCTGGAAGGATACTAGGAAAATCTCTGGTGCCAACTAGTGATCAGAACAAATTCACCAACTTCCTGATAATTGGAAGCCAGGGATCACAAAACTACCCTCATGCTCTGAGAGGGGGTGGGTCACACAAACAGGGGTAAGAAGGGAAACAAGGTGTGGAAAAAGACCCCATTCTGGACCTGAGCCAGGTGACGATCTGGGGTGTGGGATGTACCCATAACAGTGGGCACTGTACAGGTGACAGCCAGCATTTTGGATCTGATAGCCCTGGAATTGAGACGAGCACAGAATTCAGGGCGTGGGATCCATAGAGCTATGGGCACAGCACCAGATGAACATGGGTCAGACACAGCACCCACCTTGAACAATAGCTCTGTGTTGAGGTGCTCTTCTCCCCCATCCTTTTCTCAAAGAACCACTGGGAAAAAGCACAGGTCAGCAAGTACAGGTCTCTGGTGCCATCTAGTGAATCTGATAGCCCTGGAATTGAGACTAGAGCGCAGAATTCAGGGCATGGGATCCACAGAGCTATGGGCACAGCACCAGATGAACATGGGGCAGACACAGCACCCACCTTGAACAATAGCCTGTGTTGAGGTGCTCCCCTCCCTATCCTTTTCTCAGAGAACCACTGGGAAAAAGCACAGATCAGCAAGTCCAGGTCTCTGGTGCCATCTAGTGACCAGAAAAGAAAATCACCAACTGGCTGATTCCCTGCTGGAATTGAGTAAACACAGATGGAGGGAACTGTAAGGGACAATTCCAAGCAACCCAGCATCAACACCCTGGTGGAGTTTTGGCATACAGTGCTGGACTTGGTGTAGTAAACAGGTTCTGACACCACTGAAGGAGCACCCCAAAGAGATGCCTGCCATCACCAGTGGCACAACATCCTAACACATAGAACTTATTAGAAAGCAAACAGCAGGAAGAAGGAAAAGTATAAACAACCAAGCAATTCTGCAGGAGGAGGACACACGATAAAAAGGAAAACAGTCACCAGAGCTCAAATATGACATGGAGGAACTTTTTGGCCTTTCAAATAGAGATTTAATGATCGTCATGGTTAAAAAGCAGAAAGGAAACGAAAAGGAAAAAAATGATTTGAGACAAATAATCACTGAACTGAAGAATGAAATTGAGACCTCAATAAAGGAAAGAAAAGAAATGCAGGAGATTAAAAGATTACTAGAGGAATAAAGAACTCTGGGAATAGCTATGAAAACAGAATCGATGAAATGGAAGAATGGATCAGTACTCTTGAAGACACAGAAATAAAAAAAGCCAAAAGAGAAAAGGAGAGAGAAGTGCAAAGGAAGAAGTATGAAGACATTCTTCGACAATTATCAGACTCCATGAAGAGAGGAAATGTAAGTGTGATAGGCATTCCAGAAGATGAGGGGAGAGACAAAGGAATTGAGAAATTATTCAAGGAGATAACTGAAGAAAACTTCCCAAGCATCAAAAAGGAGAGGAACATAGACATACAAGAAGTGAGAAGAACACCCAATTACCACAATGAAAAGAAAACTACAGCAAGACACATAATAGTAAAGCTTGCAAGAGTCCAAGACAAGGAAAATATAATGAAACAGGCAAGGCTGAACAAACAGGTAACTTATAAGGGAAAACCAATCAGGTTAATTTTAAACTTCTCCAAAGAAGAACTACGGGCAAGAAGAAAATGGAGTAACATATTCAACAAACTTCAATACAGCAAATGTCAACCAAGAATACTTTACCCTGCAAAGCTCTCCTTCCTCTATGAAGAAAAAATATGGATCTTTTCAGACAAACAGAAACTCCAGAAATTCATTACAACGAAACCCTCCACTCCAAAAAATTCTATAAGAAGTCCTAAAGACAAAACCAACAGAGGAATGAACAAGAACAGAATAAAGCAAGGAATAAAATTACAAAGAAGACAAATAAAATGGCAAATACAGATATCAACATATCAATATTAGCTCTAAATGTAAATGGATTAAACTCATCAATAAAATGACAGAGACTAGCAGGCTGGATTAAAAAAGAAAATCCAACCTTCTGCTGTCTCCAGGAAACACATTTAACCACAAAAGACAAAAATAGACTGAAAGCAAAAGGTTGGAAAGCAATCCTACAAGCAAATGGACCAAAAAAGAAGGCAGGAACAGCTCTACCTATATCAGATGAAACAGACTTCAAATTAAAAAAGGTAAAAAGAGACAAAGACGGACACTACATTATGATCAAGGGGACAATACATCAGGAAGAAATAACACTCATCAACATATACTCACCAAATAAAGGAGCACCAAAATATAATTGAAAATTATTATCAGCTCTGAAAACAGACATTAAAGAAAATACATATATAGTGGGAGACTTCAACACTCCACTCTCACCAATGGACAGATCAACGTGACAAACAATAAACAAAGACACTAGAGCCCTAAATAAAGACACAGAACTCATGGACTTAACAGACATCTATAGGACACAGCACCCCAAAAAATCCAAGTACACATTTTTCTCAAGTGCACACTGATCATTCTCCAGAATTGATCACATACCGTGCCACAAGACAAATATCAACAGATACATGAAGATCAAAATCATTCCAACAATCTTCTCCAATCATAAAGGCATCAAACTAGAAATAACTCATGAAAAGAAAATAAGGAACCCTCCCACTTCATGAGCTTGAAATCCACACTGCTGGAAGACCATTGGACTAATGAGGAGATCAAAGAAGAAATTAATAAATAATTTGAGTTGAATGACAAGGAGGACACCACTTTTCCACTTTCCAGTAAAAGCAGTAATAAGAGGAAAATATATAGCAATACAGGCTTACATCAAGAAACAAGAAAGAACTC